ATGATGAGTATCACTTTTGCAAATACTCTGTCAGTCCCTGCCCCCCCCGCTAAAGTTTTCTTGGTATGTGGGTGTATGGACAAATTTATCAAAAGCGTAATTACAGTAACAAGTGAATGTATAACTGTTTATCGTTGGTGCAAAAGTGTATAAAATATATGATCTTAAGCCCTTTGCCTTATTTTACACTGCCAATCAAATGGTGTATATCAGGAAGACATTCTTCAGGTGGTTATTATTTCTGGCTGATGAGTGTCTACTAATAAATTGTCTTTAGCATTTTCAACGTTTGTTTTTTTTTATTCTTGCAGTTGTGTTGTTAGTTTGTTTGTCTCAAGTCCAATGTGGTTACTGAACTTTGGAGAGTCGGCTAATGAGCTCCAGGATGAGAATCAGGCTTTGGCTCATGGTTTGTCAATGTGTTTGTATTGGGCCTTTTTTCATTCATTATGTTTTTTTAATGCATTAAAAAACAAGATTCTGCAGCCACATTAGCAGCTCTGTGAGGCTTATGTAGGCACAGAAGTGCTTTAAGCTAAAGGCTAATGTCAGCATGCTAATACGCTCACCAAAGTTATGGTACACTATCCTGAGGGGAACATGAATGTCTGTACCAAATTTCTTAGCAAACATTTTGAAACATTTCATTTAAAGCCACAATGTCAGCATCATTCACACGTAGGGGTAGAAGCACAATACATTGTCTGGAACTATTAATGTCTACACAAGATTTTGTGCCAATCCATCCAGGAGAGACTGAGATATTTCACAAAATAACGACAAATGTACACAGCAGCCGGCTGCTCGGTAATGCTGCTGGTCAACATAGTATTTATGAGCTGTGATCAGATTTCATACTGGATTAGTTTTCTGATAGTATGTAAATCCATCACTGAAAATGTATTTTAAGTCAATAACCCGGCATTTATACACATTTACTAATAATTGCATGCTTCAGAGATGCAAGTTGCTCAGGCAAAAATAGACCCCACATGTAATAAAAGCGGAGAGGGGAAAGGAGCCAGTGTATATACAAGACTGCATGGGATTAATCCTTTGAGGACCATAAATTACCAAATTTCATGGCAATCATTCCAAAAGTTGTCAAGATATTTGACTAAAAGTCAAAAATGTTAATCTGGTGGTGGTGCTCGAAGAAAAGTCAGGGGATCACCGGTCAGTAAGAGTAATCTGGGACCATGAATATCTGTACAGATGGTAATCGATCCGGCAGTTGTTGAGACATTTGAGTCAGGACCAAAGTGGTGGACCTACTGACATTGCTAAAACAAAACAAAAAATAAGATTGATGCTGATCAGCTAATGCACACCCTGTGAGCAGACTACAACAAACCACTTCCTACACCTGTCCTGATTCTTTTTCAGCCTCTATTTGACCAGCATTTCTAAGAATGATATTATTCAGCACAGACCTGATATAATATATAATAATAACCCTAATAATATGCATGCATACAGCAGTACAGTACAACCACAGCCTGCTTCTGTTGGCCACTAAGTAACTTTGCATAACTTAATAGAAGTTATAAAATTACAGAGAGCAGGTTCACTTGCTGACAGCAACAATTGGCAGCAAAAGGTAATTTTAAAATGTCATCATAAAAATAGATCAAATTTGAGCTGCTATAAGCTCGTTCATTCTCAACAGCGGGTCAGTGAATGTTTGTATTAGAAGATAATCACAGGGATAATAGAGCAAAGTACTGCATCTAATGTTGACAAGACCAGCTTTCAGAGTTTGTACGCTGCCAACACAATGGTTTCTATTTTATAAAAGAAAAAACTGTTATGTGTCATCAGTCTGTGATGTTCTGTGTTCGCCAGGAGGGATTTTCTGATAATTTAATTTTCTGGTGCTCTTTTCTTTCAGTCTGCCTTACCTACTTCTACTTCATTTTGTGGTTTTCAGCATTTCCCCAGATGGCTTTTGAAAAGTCCCAGAGAACAACAATTTAGCAACAACAGTAATAGCAACTCAGTTGCCAAATATCCAGTGTTGTTTATAATAAAGTTTTATAGTCACAACAAAGGGAGTGTTGATTGCATCGTGGTCGACTGACTGTACTGTTGTTACTGCGTCCTCTGTGATGTATATGATTACTGCTTAGCATTGGTGGCAGCTCTAAACACTACATTTAAAGGCTTTAGAATGGACTTTCCCTTTCATTTATTCATTCACTTCCACTGGGCAGTAACCATTCAAATCAAATCATCAAATTAAATTTTTTACTAAAGACTATCACCAAGCATACATTTAAAAATTAAAGCTTATTAAGATCTTATCGCTAAAATGTTAGCAGATACTTGCCTAATGTCTGGATCTAGATCACTCTGGCTTGCTAGACGTTCAGTTTTCTCAACCGCTGGCTCCTTCACTTTTTAGTGTACAATTACAGCATGTGTACCAGGAGCTGATGCTCATTAAATGTGGGTGTCAAGCAACTCAACCAGACGAACCACGAAACCAAAACAATGAGCAGAAAGTGGCTGACAGAGCTGCAGACTCTGCAGAGAGATAAGGATTTATTCTGAACAATACATATGTTACTTTGGTATGTGTAAATATGAACAGAGCATAGTGAAATAAACTATATTAATGTCCAGTGCATTCATTCTCCTTTCATGAATTTAACCTAGCATTTCATGTGGTTTTTATAGTTTTGTACCATTTTTACACGTAAAATAACTAAATACAAGCTTACCGAAAGTAACCATCAGCTGTCTCTTCACTTAAACAACAAGTAGCTCATTAGCTATGTACTGTATGTTATCTTATTCACTGACAACAGGACAGCTAGCCTAGGATTGTAGTGTGTAACTAAATATGTCTTTTTCACAACATTACAGCAAAACGTCTTGACTTGACAGTATCACTAGGGATTCATAACACACTTTATTCTTACAGTAAAGCATGTGCATCTGATTTGGGGGAATATTAACCCACCCATAGTTACAAACAAAGAGGCAGAAAACTTTGCTTGACTGCAGAATTTGTTCTGCAGTACTTGCCCCTAAGGGATATAGGTTCCTCCTAAGCACTACGCCAGATCTAGTGAAATGAACAAGAAGTAGAGCACAAGAAGCACAGCGATCTGGATTTACTAATTATTAAAGACAAAACAAAATTGATTAAAAAAAGTAATTTTACTTCTTTTTAGCTATAAACTGAATGTAGTTTCAAAATGAACTGCATGACTCTTTGACCTTTGCTGTATATTATTTATGTCCTGGATATGCATTTTTCAACCCTAATATGCACATAAACACACGGCAGTTGGATTTCTTTTTAATCCCTCCAAGTTCACAGTTTGCCCACAGGGATGTCTAGATCCACTCTGTGCCACAAAGGGTTGGAAGTAGTCCCTGAGGGTAAGTATCCTCACATCACCTCACAAAC